TTCTGCGCGGGGAAGGACAATAAGGATGAAGAGTAGTTATGAGGGAAGAGGGGGCTGACATTGAAAAGGATTGTACAGCAGGGGATGAGGAGAATGTTGGGGATGAAGAAGAGGTGTTTTCTAGGGGTTTTCTAGTGGGTGTTTCAGAATGGTTAGAGTTGTTCGTAAGTGTCAAAGAGGGGGTATTAGCATCAGTGGTCAGAGCCATAGTCAAAGAAGGGGCAGGGGTCGGAAAACCATCAAATAAAATTCAGATAGGCTATTTGATGAAGGGGCAAGCCTTAATTAATGCCTCTGTTAAGGGTAAAGAATCTTCATTACAATATAAGACAGGGGTGGGCAATTAATTTTTACAAGGGGCCACATGAGAAACCTGAATTGTGTCAGAGGGCCACACCAACGATAACTTAACTTGAACTTAATTCTGATCAACTTTCTTCCATTGTAAAATGCACTAAATCATATATTTAGTGCATTATATATTTAATAAATATATATATTTAATAAATGTATATATTTACTAAATATATATATTTACTAAATTATATATGTAGTCCCTGTCCGGCTCTTCGACGGACAAAGGGCAGAGAACGAGGTCCGCGGGCCGTAGTTTGCCCAGGTCTGCCATAAGGGGCAAGGGCTAACAAGGAAGGAATAAAGAAGACACGGAAGAGGAAAGAAGAGAAGAAAGGAACAAGCAAAATTAGTTGAGGCAAGGGCTGAGGCCCAAGGTAGGAGTAATCCTCTACATTGGGTGTCAGTCCCTGTCTCCTAAGCCCTCCTACAAAGACAACGAGCTAGGTTTTGGAGGTAGCAGGGGTTAAAAGCTCTTTCCAGTAATCAAGTGCCCTTATTCCCTCATTTAAGGTATGAGTGCCTGTATCAGGCTAAAAACCAAAGATATGGGTGTCCAAATATGCTTACAAATCGTGTGTGCAATTCACAGACCCGAAAAGTGGATGTGGCACCCAAATTTGAAGGACCATATCTCCAAGACCATTAGAGGTAGGTAGGATGCTAGAATTTGGGATTCTTTCACTTGGCATCAAAAGGTACCAGTATAAAATAAATTAGGCAAATTGAAAAGGTGTTACTAGGGGGGTTCTGGGGAATTGTGTGAACTGACATGGAATGACCCTATGGTTTAGAATAATCAATAAGTATATTAAACCTGTTGTCATTAACCTCATGTAGATTAGGTGATGGTAAATTTGACACTGAACTAAAACGTGTGTGTAAGAAGGTTAACAATTCTACGATTCCAGTTTACTAGACAAAAAGATTTGGCAAGTACTGTCACCCTTAAAATTTTGGGGTATGATTTAATTTTGACAGAAAAAATGGCAGGTGGTGTTACCCTCCAAATCTCTTTCCTTGGTACTGTACCAATATATAAAATCTCTTGCCTTTATTTTCTATCTAGATTTGAAGGTATCCAGTAGACTGGCCCAGCTGTATGATTTAGTTTGATCTGTTTTGCAAATAAAAATAATTGTAATATCAATAAATATATAAATGAAACAATAAAATAACACAAATGCTGAATACTAACCTTTTCATATTAGCATTACATTCTGTATTTCATTAAATCCTTTTAAATTCATATCCATAA